TTTAGGGTCTCATGAAAAGGGCCCCAGCTCAGAATTAGGGCTAAGGGGTTTCAGGCACATGGTCCCAGGAATGGGGTTGTGGGGTTTAGGGCGTCGAATTTTGGGTTTAGGGTTTTGGGTTCGGGGCGTTGGGTTTGGGGGTTAAGGTTGGGAAGTCTTCATGTACGAATAGGCGGGCTTGGTGTGAGGAACTGTTCTTGGAGCTACCTAGCATGTGTAACTGTTTTGTAGCTGCAGCACCGGAAACCCCACCAAACCAGAACTACGCTGCAAAATTGAGCGTTGTACGCGGACTATGACGGCATGGATGGTCACGGGTGTGAAATTAGCCAAAACGCTTTTTCGGATTACCACATGTACAATATTGTGGAGGGTGAGCTGCACCAATGAAAATCCCCGACGAATGCAATCACGGAGAAATACTTGCTGGTGCGGGGCTTCCTCCATCCAGTGCAGGAAAACAAAAAGAGTGCACTATAATGAATACCCTTCATGACTTTTGAAGAAGGCACGAGCCATTTTGTAGACATGACTGTTTCATACCTTGTGTCAACCTTTTGAATCTCAATATAGGGTTTTGCGAGTGCAAAGGCCGACAGAATCAGAATAGAATTTTGGGGGTATGTGTTGCACCAGAGGTATACAAGTACTCCAAGGGAGTAATATTGGTAATCATTCAAAAGTATACATTTCAATCTTTGCTGGTTGTAGAGGCAATCGACTCACCCGGTACCTACGATGCATGGGTTAGTCCTCGGCACTCCGACAGTTTTAGTTTTGGGCTTAAGGTTTTTGACTCTAGGAGAATTACAAATTGGTCTGAAAGTTCTCTCACCCAGGTACTACATGACTTGTACGGTGCAGCAGGGTCCTGGTACAGCGCCACACGTTGGGCCACATCAAGGTTACCATCAAACCGCAACCGTTGGCCATTGAACAGGATCTGCCGGCCGAACATCAGTTGCACGAGGTTTTCCATGAAGATCCTGAAGAAGTGCCATAAGAGCGCAGTAATGACATCTGCCCTGGGCAGCAAAGCAGCCATCGCCAAGACATGGGCCGAATAACGGTCCGCAATCTTGCGACGCAGAGCATGAAGGTTTAGATCCTCGTAACAGCTCAGCAGCAAGTGGAAGAGGAACCGCCCAGAAACAAGAAGCTGTCCAGTCCATTTTTCTCTGTTTGCAAAACAGCTCCGATTTTTCTTTCATCTCGTGTAACACAGCCCTACAAAGACTCGCCTACACATTGAAGGCGTTGGAATTGCTAGAGAGACAACTGCTGCAGCTTCGCACACCCGTAATTAGCTCGCAGCGCAAGCAACGGTGAGGTCGCAGATCAACACTGCTAGAGACAAGCCTAATACAAAATCCACAGAGCCTTTGTCGCATCGAGGCCGTGTCTTGTGTTCAGGGTGCTTCATGTGCTCCTGCGCTGCTGCAGGCACAACCTCCAGGACTGCTTCCATGTGCACTAGTTGCTTTGGAAAGGACAGGCAGGGTTGGCCTTATGATGAATGGCAAATCGGCTGCCTCAGCCACCATACTGGGCAGCACAACTGTAGCCTGCCCTCGCAGCTCTGGAACTTTCTAGAACAACACAGATTTGGCTTTCACATTCACCGGGGGGAACGGAAACCTACGTCTCGCAGATCTTCCTGTTACACTGCCTCGGGTTTGGCCAACAACCACCGCCCGTCCTCCGGCTTGCGCAAACAGGCCACATCTGCCAGCTGGCATCGATGCAGCATAAACACATCAAAACGAAAACCGGGGGCTGATTGCGCAGCTGCGCTGTCCAGTCACGCTGCAGCTGCAGGCCATGAGCTGCCGCACACGTCAAAGGTTGCACTCGGCGCAGACCCTGCAGCAGCTTGTTGGCTGTAGATGGGCAAGCGTGCTCCTGCCTCTGCTGCTGGACCGGGCCATCAACCAGCGATGTTTCTGAAGCACGGAGAGCAGCGTCCCTTCGCTTCGGGCGGTCTCGCCCGATCATCTTGGTCAAGATCTCCTTCTTGCTAACTGTGGTAGCGAAAGAGCGGACAGGATTCCGCAGCCGAACACGTTGGCAAGTGGACCCTAAACCTACTGACGGGCACAAAGAGTCCGCTTTCCCCTGAAACGGCCATCTCGGAGATCTCGGAGCATTGCTCCTTAGTCACTACAGCTCACTCGCTCCTCGACCAAAAAGAACGAGGACCTTGACACAGCGCCTTCCCTTGAAGAAGCTAGCAAGTGGCGAAAGCAGTCCTCGTTGCTCGGGCTAAGGGCGGGGTCGCGTGTTAGTGGGCCACTGTTCGGGCTTACTGCAGCGCTAAGCGACTGCAAAAGCCGTGATTAGATTTGGCTGTCTTGGAGAAGCCAGGCCGCCTGCCATCTCCTGATCTTGCAATGCAGTAACCAGCACAGTTCGCTGTCAGCCGCTTGAGCGTAGCGTAAAAGTCTGCTGAGAATCAACGCGCACGTGGTTCCAGAAACAGTTTGCCGGCCATGTGACATCAGCTCTGCTCCCTTTGTTGTTGGTCGACTCTTTGTGTAATCACTTTGGCACCGTGTGAGGCCTGGCAAGGCCAACTGCACAAGCTCGTCACTGATCTTCTTAATGGTATCTGCCTTGGCCCAGTCCTTGGCGTGCTTTGGGCCGCGGAAGTTCACGCGCACCATGCTGTGTCAAAGCAACCCTCAATCGACATATCTATGAGCGCGTTGTTCTTGAAGTAATCCTCCCCGGCAGGGCTCTCGCAATGAAGTAGCTCGGAGCCGCCTACCTAACAAGCACAAACATCTGCCAGCATCTTTGGGCTTACTTCAGCCATCCAGCAGTAATACATAAAGCCTGCGTTGACCTGGCGCCGCCACAAACGCATGTCCATGGCAAACTCATACACATTGAGTTTGGTACGAAGCGCCTCCTCGTGTCCCGGAGCAGACGAGGAGTGTCTAGCCAAGTACTGACGTTTGCGCATACCCAAATGGTTTGCGCATAGCCAAGTCCGCTTTTGCCGCCACAAATGTGGACATCCTGTCACACTCGCCTTGACGTCCTCTACGCGACTTCTTGGCCTTCTTGGCGCGTCATATAGTGTCCGGACATAACCGTCAAGGATATGCTTCTCAGCTGGCTCCTCGTAGAAAACGCGGTCGGACATCCCCTTGCGCAAGCCATGCACAAGCTCCTGAGCTGCGGTGATAGGCTGAGGCTCATCGTAGGGCAGACCACGCGGAGCAAAGGCCACGCAAAACCTTTTCTGGAAGCTTGAGAATTGATTCGAGAACCTCTTGCTGTCCTGAGACCTTGCACAGGATGAGGTAAGGGCGCCGTTCAGAACCGATGTGTGCCCCTGCACCGCCGCGTAGCAGCATCGTAGCACTCCGACTGGCTAAACTTCTTCATGATTTGTGCAATGAGGAAGTGAATGCTCGGTCTCTTCATGAAGAATGGGCATTCGTAAGTATTTCAACATTCCGACGAGGCGATGATGGCCCGGTTGCAATTCACCAACGACTTTCTAATTCCAGCCAGGGCACCGTCAGCCCTTTACGACCAAATGAAATCTTTTGCTGGACACAACTGAAGCGCAGACGGGGCAGGGCTGACTCCTTTCTGTGTAGAGTCAGACGTCCGCAAGAACCGGGTGGTATGACGTTCCATGAAGCCCAAGTTGGCATCGAGGGCTAGGCTTCGAGACTCTGCAAAGACACCATCGTGTAAGGCCAAGGCCCTCATAAAATGCACCCATGGCACTGGGCTTGTGCGTGCAGATCGAGATCATGATCCACACCATCGCCCAACTCCCGATCGGTGCAGGTGCCCTCCACTATGTCCTGTACCCAATTGAGAACTGTGGCACGCGACTCCTCGAACGTTGCAAGAGGCTGCTGACATAGAAGGTTTTCCTGATGTCGTGGGCACCACCAGCACGGAAGGTGTCTACCGAGGCAGGCACGCTGACTGTGGCAGGGCTCTGTCTGGCTTTGGACTTGGCATCAGCATCTCCAAAATCAAGCACACCGCGTCCGTCAAGTGGGGGCCAGCCCCGCGCGATCAGATTCTAGAAGCCTGCTTACTCTCTAAATCTGGGTTCTTGTTGAAATACAATTTAAAAAGATCCTTGTTATTGATATTGGACCCAGGTATCCATAAAAATGTAAAAATTTTGTTCTACAAGAGCCCAGTAATAAGCAGACTCATGTAGCTTCATTTTCTCAAATTATCGTTCAAAAACAACAACCTCAAAGAGGTGTGGTGATTGTTATTGTTGGAAGGAATTCCAATAAGTGAAAACCGCATTTGCATAGCTGACGCAGGAGTTCGTCTCAAGTACAACTCCGAGAATTCTATAAGCCTGCGTTAGCAGGCATTTTAGAAACACCCGTACCACAATAGGAACACAAACGACAACACCAGGACTCCTACAACCCCGCGTGACGGGTGTTCTTTGGTTGGTTGCACCAAATGAAATTACCTTCCTCATAGTAGCTACGACGAAAAGGGAAAAGCTATCTATGCTCGGGACTAACATCCGCATCAGAAGCACTACCATAAACCTCCTGAACCCTAAACTTCAAACCCTTAACCTTGAGCCACTGAAGCACCCCGAATTAAAGTCCAGCTTGAATGATCCACGGTTTGACCTCATGGTCTCCCCAATTGGGCACCCATTAGATACATTTACCAAGACTGCCGTAGTACGAAAGAACGACCCACTATCCTGGAGACACTTGCCACTACAACCCCCTTCTCCCCCATAGACTCTTCTACAAGGACCACTGAAGACCCCCCAGAGGCTGTTGTTGGTATAAGTTGAAAACAGGGTATTGATTTACTCCGCAACACGGGCTATTAAAGTGCAAGTTTTGAATACGCCGAGGCTCATTTATCGCTGCATGCACAAGGCGCCAGCAGATCGAAACTTTAGTCCTCCTGATGTCTTCTACAGGAAGCCTAAGTGCACTGGCCAAATACCAAAATCAAAGCCTACCTCCAGTGAGTCGAGCATCCTGTCTTGAAGGCCAGGGCCGTAGCAACCAGAATCACAATGCCCAGCACACCTGACTTCTGGCTTTAGCTTAATGGTTCTTAGTAGGGATTAACGAAATATGATCCCTACATAACATATTCCCCTATTCCCTACTAACAACCAGCAGGCTAGGGTAAAGGGTCTAGGATCTGAGGTTTAGGGTTGAAGGTACACTACGACTCCTCTCTCCTTCACATAAAGGTTCCGACTGCCCTTTAGAAAAGTGTGGTGTGTAGGGTTCAAGTTTGGGGTTCAGGCTTTAAGATTTGAGAATTTAAGGCGTAGAGTTCAGGGTCTGGGTTTTTGTGCTTTGCGATTGGGATGTAAGGTCTTGGGTTCAGGGTCTGTTGCGAAAGTCGCGGTGGTCATGTCTTATGTCGAAACTTTGGGGGCCTTGTTTACAGCTGTACTCCGTTATTGGTAAGGAGCCTCCCAGAACGAGAGACCTCTTTTTCTCTTCTCCTACAGGCAGCTCTTTCGGGGCTGAGGGCTTAGGGGCTTTGCTTCTTGGGCGTTGGGCTTAGATTTACGACCGCATTCAAGCACGAAAGGTACTATGGTCCTGCATCTTCTTCCGAACTCCCACCTAGAACTACCACTACCTAGGCCGGCCAGGCACAACTGAGCCACAGAGGGCACCCTAACTGAAAGTTATTGACGCAGGGAGTGAAGTTCAACTCAAGGTCAAAACTCACAAGCAAACCCCTCATGCTGCATGCGCGGGGGGGTCTATAGCGCACGGCTCTTGCCCAACGACTTCCTCTACAGAGCAAACCCAAAACCACCGCAACCTAAAATTTCCAACCCCCCATACCTGTGGACACCCTCCAAGAACAAAACCTCTGGCCCCTTATCCAGACTCAGGAAAACTTGCTCTCTGGAGTACTATGCCATTGATCCCTGAAACACGTGAAGGAAACGCGGAGCCCTGGCTCTGCATATTCCTGGGTTTAGGGGTTTAGGGTCAAGGGTTAGGTACATAAGGATGACTGAAGAAGTATAGGTGTCCTTCATACGAACTATAGAGGGAGTGGGAGTAACAGCGAGGCCGCCTAGGGGACAACATGACCCCTATAGCCTATACCCCCTACATGATCCTGCAAAATACCTGTATAAGCCTATACTATCCCTGCACTCCCTAGATGTGCCCTATATAACTTCTATGTCTATATATATATATTTGTATATATACATATCCTTACACAATCCATACAGAATCCCCAAAAGAGCTACAGTCAAAATTTGCTACATTAATCATTAAATGAATGGACAAGGGCTTCTCATTCGGGACTCTAATAGGCACTATACTAAACTACAAGATGGACCCCCCCCCGGGTACAGAGTTTGGACTATGGCTCATGTCACCTTTGTTTAGGCCCCTGTAAAAGTTGAACCCTAAACCCTAAACCCTAAACCCCTAAACCCTAACCCTAAACCCCTAAACCCTAAACCCTAAACCCTAAACCCTAAACCCCTAAACCCTAAACCGTTAAGTCCCGATTCCGAACCCGGCCTGCAAGGCGAGTGGCCAACTTGTTCACCTCAGAATGGTGGGATTATATGGGTGGTTGTCAAAAGTCGCCAAGGCATCCAGCCTCAGGGCGTTCAGATCCCTTTAAAAACTTGCAGACACGCCCCAACCTGGCCACCCCCCCCCCATGGTGGGTGGCCTATTCCAGCCTGACCATCCCGCATGAAATTTCAGCCTCGCCCAAGGTTCGAGGGTTTGGCAGTACGCGGCATGGCGCATTTTTCGTCCCTGAGCCCTGCAACCAGGCTTTGAGGCCCCCTGGAGCCCCCTGGAACGGCCTGGAAGCGCCCGGAAACCCCCCAACATGCATGGATGAAGCTGAATAAC